CTTCAGATTTGTCTTGGAAAGTGCCCGATATTCTGTAGGCCAGAAAATTTTATCTACTCTTAGATTGTATATTCAACATGTTGGAAAGCAATAATGATGTTAGCGAATATATTTCGAGTGATCCAGTGACATATACATAACCCAACTGCCCTGCGTTTATATATATTTTAACATAAATTTTTAAATATAATTATATTATATATAAATATTAATTTATGTCATATAATTGTATTATATTATATATATTATTATATATAATATAATGTGAATCTATTATAGGCCTATGTAAATTATATAATTTATAATAATTATATTATATATACATTAATAATTTATATATAATATAATATAATCGCATTATATATAATATAATTCTAATATATATAAATTATTAATGACTCGAGGTCGTCATCATCATAATCATTACCATCTATATTATATTTTACTCAATGTAATCAATCATGCCAACACAACGCTTAAATTTCAGGGCCCAACGAGTGTGAATCTAACCCATGTCTTAACAATGGGACTTGTCATGACGAATCGAAGTCGTTTAGTTGTACTTGTACGGAAGGATTTCAAGGAGAAATTTGTGAAATTGGTAAGAAAACTATCGCTTTTTTCTTGGGGTTTAAAGCTTGGTTTCAGCCTGGTTTCCATAAAATCGCTACACGATCGCCGACTCCTTTGGCGACGATGATTGGTACGTTGATTCAAGGAGCGCTCCCGATTGCCTTGGATACAGCTACGCGGTTGTAGGATTGCAGTAGTGGAAACATTGCTGCGACTGTGGAGCGATTCTATAGAACCCAGGTTTTACAATCGCTACACGCTATCGCAGACTGTTTAATTTTCAGATCCCGTCAGGAACTGCTACGTAGTAGGTCTAAACGATTCCACTGTGTAGCGATTTTAATAAAACCAGGCATAATTGGTAGTTGGTATTGGAACTATTAATGTCAAGGCAAAAATTTCAGTCTCATGACACTGATTTTGTGAAATAATAACTGAACATACTTAGTTGATGCATGTTTCCCACATGGGGGTTCTAGGAAAGTTATTCTCCAAAGATAATGAATCGAGGTTAAATAATATATGTAAATTAAGTAGTAAACGATATAAAACGTACGAAAAAACAACAAAAAACAATTTAGCGACCCGGCACTGACCAGTAGCTATGCCATTTTAGCCTGGTTCACACGAGAGCACAGTATCCGGATCGGGAGCTAAGCTAACCGTTAGCGCTAACCGTTAGCACCTGCGTGAGAAGCCGTTAGCACCCGTTAGCAGTATCCGGATACCGCTAACGGTTAGCAAGCGCTATCGGTTAGCAAGTTGAGCGCGTTTCTATCATCAACCAATCACACGTACGCGTTTACAATTTCCTGTTTCTTATTGGCCAGTGATTCGATCATCATATTTTTGGTATCCGAATCGGGATTTTCTCGTATGGACGCATGGCAGCTAACGGTTAGCAGGATCCGGATCCTGCTAACTGTTAGCAGCCGTGTGAGAACATAGCCTTAGAAACGCCAGACACTAATCTGAGTGGGTGAATTACCAGGACTTGTAATTGATATTTAAAAAAAAATTGTTTTTACACTTTTAATCTTTGTTGTTCCTGGTTTTATGTTGCATTCGAGGATGCGCATCACAATGGTATTGATTATACATCAATATGAAGTTGAATCTTTGTGATTAAATATGTGCATGTATTTAATACTAATCACCTGTCCGTTCTATTGATGATTATCAAATGCATGCGATTATTTAATTTCCACCTGTTCAATGCGCACATGCAGGCTCTGCATAATTAATAATAAACGTGGCATGCATAATATAGAGAGAGCTTTCGATTGCTCAACGACGATACGATTTCAGTTTTTAGCTCAGATGAGGAGCTCTATGAGCGCTGACTGCTTTTTTCACGGCTGATTGACTCGGCTTATTCATTTTTTAGAAGAAGGAGAAAAGAGAAAGAAGAAAAAACAAAAAACAAAAAAAACAAAAACAAAAACAACAACAAAAAAAAAACAAAAAAAAAAACCGGGCTCGTCCGGGCCGGGAATTGAACCAGGGACCTCACACTCTAACCCACAACCATGCCACTCGGCAACAAGTCAAACTTACTGGGCACCAGAATAAGCTACATTCGTGCCTGTAGTTACTGGCTAATTTTGAAGAAGCTCTAGGAATACTCGACTAATAGATCTTTTTTGCTGATTGATCTAATTTTTTTTTCATTGTTAGAGGGGGAAAAATACTAACGGGCTCGTCTGGAATTGAACCTGGTACCTCTCACACCGTAAGCTACATTCATGTCTCCAGACAGAAAATATAACTCTAGGAATACTCGGCCGAATGATTGTTTGATTCATTGATTTAAATAGATTTTTTTTGTATGGGCGGCCGTTAGGGACAACGCACGCTACTCTATTATACTGCCCTCATCGGAGCTTTCGCGATTACGAGAACTTTTTTGACTGCAGACGTTGCACTACGTAGCTGTCTCGCACCGACGCAATCGGGAATGCTCCCTCATTCATTTGACTAATCAACATCGCCTACGCCATAACGTGTAGCGATTTTTTAAATGGAAACCACCAGGCTTGAAACCTGGTTTCCATAACAATCGCTACGCCCTGTCGCCGATAGCTTTCGGTGATGCCAATTGGTCGGTCGAATTACGAAGCCTTCCCGATTGCATCGGCCTGCTACACAGTACAGCTACTGCACTGAAAACAAGGCTTGTCAGAACAAAATGAGTCGACTTCACAAAAGTCATCTGCGAATGTAACACCGTTTATTGTATGTGTTAATTCAATAAAATAAAGAACGCCAGAGTGGTTATTAAAATTAAAACTAACTCAAAGATAAAATTTAAAAGGAACGATAATCTTAACAGAAAGAACAGAATACTGTGGTGTAAATATGATATACTTTAGAAATGATTAAGGAGTTTTTATTAATATAATTGTCATTAATGATAATTAATAATATCACAATAATCACGTGCTCGTTTCTAGATATCAACGACTGTGTGGAACACGCTTGTCAAAATGGTGCAACATGCTACGACAAGGTAAACGACTACTTTTGTGATTGTTCACCTGGTTGGGAAGGAGACAATTGCGAGTTAGGTAAGAAACTTACTCCACCAGCTAACAATTATACCATCTGTTCTATTTCTCTATGATTATACTAATACATGTATTGAATAGTTGGTATAGGAAATAAGACAAAGATCCACATCCTCATTAGTATGCTGTGCAATGAAGCATAATGACCTGCCATGCTTACTGCTGACCGCGTACTGCACTTCTCTGAACCATGGAGGTATAAAAATCAGGTATATTATGTCTGAATATGCTCTGGACAAGCTATGACGTCATTTGACCGGAAACCGAAAGGTCCACTGATTAATCGAAGTATCGAAATGCACGCCATCGTGTCGGGATTCAATATTTCGACATTAATTTGACCGGATCTGTGTATAATTTTGATTTGATAATAAGAACTATAACAGCGAGTCTATTCTACCAATAAGAATGAAGTTTACATCAATACGTTCGTCATTTATTCATCTACTCGAACCAATTTGCCCCGATGTTGTATGGTGTTTCATTTAGGTGCTAGAACCGATTTACTGCCGGTCGGTCTTAAAAAATGGACATTTTAGAGATTTTCCTCATAGAGAATTGACCATAATGCTCATTATAAAATTAAAACTGCAGCGCGATTAAAAACAAAAAAGAGCAGTGTTATATACCATTATTAAAGATAGACATTTCTAGTTTATGAATCCGTTTGCCCCGAAGTAGTTCGACACTCCGTTTTGAAAATATTAACATTTATTTAAAAAAATCAAATTCCAATGATATATATTGCACGCAAAACTAGGCGGTCGGCGAGCAGATGCCCGCGACTTTCCCTCGGCCCTCAAATGATGCGCGCTATAGTTTCACCAATAAATCTTAGGGCCCCCAGTCGGACATCTTAAGCCCCCACCCCCCATAAATTATATCCTAAAGCAGCCACTGATTCTATAACTATAGGTGAATTTCTCCCTTCCATCCCACAGTGAAATTCTGTCTGTTAGGCGAGAATTTTTATTCCTTGTTTTGCATACACAGGTTTTTAAAGATCATTGGAGGAGGGCGGAATAAAAATAAAATTTTGTTTTCTTATGCAAATAGTTTTGCCAAAAAATAAATAAAATTTTATTGGTGAATGTAAAATAGGATGTTTAAATGCTTCAAATTTATATAATTAGGAAGAAATATACATATACCTGTATTATCTTTTGAGATTTCAATGTAGCGGTAATAAAAATTTAAAAAAAACCCTTTTTTTTTTTCTCAAATTTCCACTTTATCGTGGCGGCGGGTGCGCTCATTGGCCAAAAATTAAATTTTATTTTTATCCAATCTCCAAAAAGTTATCATCTCCAAAAAGTTATCACATCAATGAGGCTTGCCTTCAGCTCACAAGTACCTTGGTGTTAACATTGCATCTAATTTATCATGGGGTGCTCACGTTAATGATGTCACTTCCAAGGGTCTGAAACTTCTTGGCTTTATTAAGCGAACTTTGAAATACAATCACTCCGAAGCCTTTATCAAATTATATAATTCCCTCGTGAGACCAATTTTAGAGTATGGAGTACCGAGTTGGTATCCATTTCAAGCTGGACATTTGAAATCTATTGAAAAGGTTCAGAGAAAAGCAACTCGTATGAGTATCCCAAATGAACTCAGATCTGTGTTAAGCTATGAGGAGAGATTAGTTAAATTTAACTTGATCTCTATGAAGGCTAGATACGATTTCATTCTTGTAGCTTTTGTTTGTAAATGCCTTTATCATGTGTATGATTTAAACTGTTTGGAATTTGTTAAGATCAACCTAGACACTCTGATGATTTGCGTTTTAGGCATGCCTTTGCCCGAACCAATGCATTTAAATTCTCTGCTTTCAATTATTTTCCCATTGTATGGGAAACTCTTCCACTTGAAGTACGTGATGCTGCTCTCTTTAACATTAACTTATTTCTCAGAAAGCTAAAAGAACATTTTTACAACTAAGAGAATCT